AATTATTAAAAGCACTCTGTATGTCTTTAAGAGCAGGTGTGTATGGCAACTGTTGAGTCATAGCCTGAACCACTGATTGAGCACCTGGGGAAAGGACCTGGTCAGCACTGGGAGCACAGGTGAAGGCAATTCAGCTGTGTGACCAGAAGGGCTGCAGCCTGGCTGCACCTGCCTTAGACCTCATTTAAGGGCTGACTGCCAGGGGGGAAGGATCTCTGGTTGGAGAGCCCTCCCTTGTGAGCCTAGATCTTCAGAGGTGGGTGAGTACTTTGTGTTTTCTTTTGGATCTTTTTGTCTCTTTGTCATAAGACTTCTTGTATCAGCATTCCCTTGTGTTGATCTTCCTGATTCTTACAAAGTGCAGCTCTTGTTGGCCTAATCTTGCTGCAAAGCATTTTCAGAAGAGAAACAGAGGGAAGGAAAGCATTCAAAAAAGAAAAGATAAAATCCTAGCTTCAATTATTCATGGACGCTATTATCTGTAGAATTGTGTGGTGAGACACTGGAACAGACTGCCCAGCAAGTCTGTGGATTTCCCCTCTCTGGAAGCATACAAGGCCAAGCTGGATGGAGCTGGGAGCAACCTGGTCTAGGGGGGAGGTGTCCCTGCCTACAGCAGGTGTCTGGCAGTAGATGATCTTAAAAGTCCCTTCCAACCCCAACTGTTCTGTGACTCTCTGAATTTTCCTTTTGCTTTAGCTGTCCGTCATTTACTGAAAACCTAGTCTAGCCATGAAGAATGATTTGTTTCTAGAAAAGGTTTTTGGAAAAGAAACAACAACTCTTATGTTTGGAGAAAAGCTTTGAGCTGTAGCAGCTAGGGAAATGGAGGTTTGGTATGGGAGATCTCTGACAAATCACAGTTCTGCCTCTCTTTCTCACTCCTCTTACCAGGAAAAAAAAGCAAATTGGTGAGAAGGATGAAAGTGTAGAGATATGGTAATATCTGAATTTCCATTGAAAACTTGCTTTGAATGCTCATTGCTTAAGATTTTAGGAATCCCAAGAAATTTATCCTCTATAACCTTGACCCATGTGGGGAAATACTAGCCAGCTCCAGCTTTAATAAAGAGGCACAGCTTTTATAATGGCAGCTGGAAATTTTAGTTTTCCTTTTTCTGTTTTTAATCTGTATGGTGTGACATTATTCTTGTAAGCCTGTCAGGAAGCATTAAAAAACAAACAAAAAACAAGATTTTTTTCTTTTTAAAGAAAGAGCTGAAAAGTCTCCTGAATTGTTTGCAGGAAAGCTGACAGGAAGCTGGAAATGTGATGTTCTGTTTATTTCAGTGTTCCTGAAACTGCACTAATCTTCAACAGTACTGAAAGGGGCAGAAGAGGCTGGGATCTGAGCAATAGAGATATAATCAGAAAGCTTTAAAACCCAGTAAGGACTGCTCCTAAGAGAAGTGTACAGTGCTCAAAGAATGAAGTAGAGGGCTGCACCAGGCATTCGGGTCATTCATCTTGGACCAAAGTACATTTTTATTTTTATTTGTATTTACTGAATTCAAATATCCCTAAATAAAAATCCCCTCAAAACAGAATTCCAATCATGAAGCTTTGTTGAGGCTTTACTCCTTTAGAGTTGGCAAATAAAATGTCCTTGGTGTTGTTAAAGGATGAAATGTTTTAAAACACCTTTATAACTCTTCTCTTAAAACAGGAGACGGGATTGATCAAGAGATCTCGCTTACTTTCTAAGTCTATCTTTAAATTAAGAATCAGGTGAATTTAATTCTCCATTGTTGTTTAGCTACATTCATTTGAGCAGTCCGTGGCTAACAGTAGTGCGAGCTGGTAAGGATGATACTATTATTCAGTTGCTATTGTGCTTTGAGCCTCTCTCCATTTACAGGAAACCTGAAATCTTTCACTAGATTAGAAGTGTGAATGAACTGTTGGTTGCCATCAAAGTGGTAAAAATGCTTCCTATTGTGGAGACTCATTAAAATGAAACCATTGAAACAAGACTCTGCTCTTAGAAATGATGCTCAGAATCCAGAGATCCCAAAGACCATCGCAGTTTTGTGAAATGATTGATTTTTTTTCTTTGGAGTATTTATTTAATGTGGGTAGAATACCGTAAAATCATAGAATTGCTCAGGTTGGAAAAGACCTTGAAGATTGTGAAATGAAACCACAACCTAACCATAGTACCCCAACAACCTTCCGCTAAATCGTGTCCCTGAGCACCACATCCAAATGGTTTTTAAACATATCCAGGGATGGTGACACAACCACCTCCCTGGGGAGCCGATTCCAGTGCTTAACAACCCTTTCCTGATAGGTCCTGAAGTTTTTCTCAGTGTCCAAACCTAAATTTGTCCTGGTGCAACTTAAGGCCATTTCCCCTTGTCTTATCACCAGTGAGAAGAGACCAATCACGCTGTGGCTGTAAGCAGCTTTCAGATGCTGGAAGAGAGCAAGCAGCCTTCTTTTCTCCAGGCTAAACAGCCCCAGTTCCTTCAGTCTCTCCTCACAGGGCACATTCTCCATGCCCTTCTTAAGCCTTGTTGCCCTTCTTTGGACCTGCTCCAGCACCTCAATATCCTTTCTGTACCAAGGTGCCCAAAACTGAACACAATACTTGAGGTGAGGCCTCACCAATGCTGAGTACAGGGGCAGGATTATTTCCCTACTCTTGCTTACCACACCATTCCTGATACAAGGAACTAGGGTTAGAGAAGCAAATAATGGCATGTACTTCTCAGAATTGTGGCTTGGATGAAGGCAGCTATCTTGATCTGTAAGAAGGCATTTTCCTATGTACGACTGCTATCAAATGCAGTTTATGATTACCTGAAACCCTTTCATTTGAATTACGTTGAATAGCAGTAGTTTTTTGGTTTGATGGGTGCAGCCCATAGATGGACTGGAGCTGGCAGACACTACAAGGAGTGTGCTCTTTGTGTGGAGTCCTTTAATGTTACGGGTGGGTACTGAGAAACAGAAGTGGCTTATTGTGAATGTGCTTCACTGATCTTTCCAAGTTCAAAGCAGGTAGGTTGAGAGTAACCTGATAGGATCTTCTGTGTGTGGTAATAATCAGCTATGAAACACTGGACTTTCCCTGTGGTAGTTTCAGTTTATACTGCTGTAAGTGATCTGAATTAAATTTACAGTTTTAGGACATAGAGAGATGAAAAACATAGGTTTAGTAAGTTCAGAATTCAGTCTTTTCATGAATATGAAAAATCCTCATATCTTCCCTCTTTTTAATTTTTAATCTCATGTAGCTCAAATATGTTCTTGCATCTCTTAAAAAAAAAAATTAAATTCCTATAATTTTTTTAATTTTTTTTTAAAAAATTTCCTAGGTCAATTCTTGTGGCATAAGAATTTCAGGTCTTCTAAAAGCCAAGATCTGAAATGTTTTCCTTAATAATTAGAGCCAATTGATGCTCCCAATAGTGAAGTTTCTTTCTTTTTCTCCTTAATTGCAAGGACCAGCAAAATGCTGTAGTTGGGATGCTGACAGTAAATAGCTGACCTGATGGAGCATGGTTGGGTTGTGGCCAGGACTCTCATCAGTAGATACTCCCTCTCAGTTGGGAAATGTTTCTTTTGGCTTTGTAAGCCTTGTAGTAACCTATTTAAAAGTAAGATTTTTTTTTTTTTTGTCTTGTTCTATTTTAAACCAAGGCTATACTTTTACAATGCCTTTTCATCAAATTCCAAAAAAAGCATCTGGTAGATGCATTTCCTTTGAGAATAGGAGAGATTAATATTGTTTGTTAATTAATGAGGTTCTGCTTTTACTTATTAAGCATATATCTAGCAATACATGTTATGAATTTGTTAGGCTACAATCAATCTGTGACTAATACAATAGCTCAGTTTTGCAAAATGTTGTTTTTCAAGATACCATGTATGTAGCACCTGTAGTCTGGAATTCTGTTACAATCTCCAGTGTACGTAGACCCAAGCTTTGAACTGTTGCATAAATGTGGCATTAGCATATTAATTGTCTGGATAATCAAATGAATGCCTAAAGTTGCTGTTTGCTAGAGATTTCACCTGGTGGTCAGGAACAGCGGAAGTGCCAGCTAAGTAACAACATGCTCTGAGCTGCCGGAGACTGATGTTGACCCTGCATTAAAGAAATGTAACAGCTGTGCAGAGAACCACAGGTTCTTCCAATTCAACCTCAGTGGGGTTGCTATGGTAACTTGGGGATAAGAAGCACTAATATGGACTGGCAGCAAGTGAGGGAAATCTGTTTTAAGTGATCTAAATATAAAACAGCACTCAGCTTGATACATCAGTCATGGACTAACACTTGACATTGACCAGTGAATTTGTCAGATGTTGAATGAATGGAATATCTGTTTCTTACTGACTTTTCTTGTAGGCTGTGTATGTTTTGTGGATTGAATTTGTTAATATGTATTTAGATACTGGTAATCCTGATGAGTAAATACAGAGTGCAAAGCCTGTTCTTCAAAGGAGAAGAATACTTTTAGGAATAAAAAATTTACAGACATTATAGTCACATTTTTGATCTTGTAGAGAAGACCCAAACTCATTTTCTGTCTTAATTTATATGGGTAATCAAGGTTAATTGCTATTGTTTAACACTTTGAGCTAATAAATAAATGTGTCCATAGATGTCAATGACAGTTGCCTCCCTTAAATTGGCAACCAGTTTGGTTCTTTCTACTGAGAAGGTCGTTCAGATTGTTTCGGGGCTGTCATGTGGTAGAGGGATTTATGTGACCGTTACGATTCCACTGTGAAGTGAAAGTCACCTGGTTTGCAGAAAGCTTCAATTGCTGAAATAACTCTCCTCAGAAAGAGGAAAAAAATCCCATTCAGTCAGTCTAAAAGTAAATCCAATAAGAAATAACAAAAAGAAAACAAAACAAAAAACCCAACCTGAAACACAGTTCAGATTTTCAGAATTCACCTCTATATTTACGAGAGTAATGATGCCCATTTTCTACCTCTGTTTTATTTATCAGTGTATGTTTATAAATATGTTTTTATTGTCTTTTTAGGTGATCCTGATCCTTACCAAGTACTATCATACTGACATGGGAAAAGTGCTGGAGAGCTCTTTGTGGAGGTAAATTTTATGCTTTTCCTATAACTTCTGTCTTTTCTCTGAGTTTGTCTCTCTCTTCCTGTAACAAGTTGCTGCTGGATTCATCTAACTACTTTTTGATGTTAATATGGCAGTATGACCCAGAGTCTCAGTAGTACGTATTCTTTTTCTTCTTTAAATGACCTGCAGTTCTGTACGAAAGAGTTTGAAATGAATTTGCAGTAGAGAAACAAACAGTTGTGGAGTGTGTAAAGCACCTTCCCAGTGCCGCTTTATAAGAGGCAATTTGTTTTCTTTCTCAGAGAAATTTTACACTGAAGTTACCTGAAGACGTTCAGTCCCTTATTGTGTTGAGATGTGTCTCTTGGGAGTTTTTGCAGTTCTTGAGTGCTGTATTGTGGGTAATAAGTAACCCTGATTTGGAAGGAGTCACAATTGTCTGGATGAAATACAGTACTGGTGCTGGCTAGGTTGTATGTTATGACAACTTGAAATATACAGTAATTCAATTAAGATTTCTAAATTGATTGTCACGTTCTTAACGTTTGGGAGGTAGAACATCAACATACTTGTTGTGTATGCACAAATTGTGTTATCAAACATTAATCAGCACAAAAACAAGGCTAGGGTAAGATTATTACACTAGTTCAACATCATAGATGAAGATCAGTACTTTCCCACCCTGCTGTCCTTTTTTTTTTTTTTTTTTTGCTAACATACCTGCTTCAAGCTTGCTGACAGGAGATGAATTACTGTAATTACTCTGTGGTTATGCATGTTGAGATGACTTGTTTTTTCAAGGTAAAGGGCTAACAGGTACCTACTTTGTAGAGTTGTGTGCCACCTGAATGAGTATAGCGCAGCAAGCATGAACCTATTCAAAGTTATTTAAATGCTCATGTGTTGAATGACAGCTCTTAAACCAAACACCTAAAATTTTCTCAGGTGTCCATTTTCTTTTGCTAGATAAGCTTTCTGTGTTCTGTATAATTTTCTGTGTATCTATATAAATTCTACAAGAGATTTTCCTGTACCCATTATGTAGACCTGAAAATTGAAAATATATCCCTGTTATCAGTAACTATAAAGTTGCTTCAGTGTTTGCAATGGAATTTTGCTAGGTTATTTATAGCGCTACAGGTACTCTTGAATTATTCTGCCTGGATATCTAAGCAGTTGTTACAAATGACAGCAGACATGCTTGAGAATTTCTTGTGTAGCCAGTAAGCTTCAGGTCTAGAAACAAATGGGTGTTGTAATACATTGTGACTTTGGTACCTGTAAGCTTCATGCTTTCCCAAAAGCTCGCATAGAGAGCTTACCTTGCATCTGTGTGAGAAAATCTGATCTGAACATGGTGCATACCAATCTTGTTACTTTTCTTGAGGAAGGCTGTTTATTCTTGTGGGATTTCTCGTGGCAGCAGCAGATCTTTGCGGTACCTTGAGAGCACTTAATATTTGCTCAGGATTGAGCTTTTTAGGGTTACTGGTGGTTCCTTTGTTCTTATCCTTTAATCTTCCAACCTGGGAAGTTGATTACATATTCGTTTCTGTTTTAGTTTCTGTACAACATCTTGTGCAAATAAGACAACAAAATAGAAATTCAGATTCCATCAGAATTGTGTAAGCATATATTGCTTTCTTGTTAAACGCCTCCAGCCTATGCAGCATATGCAATATGTTTCAAGTTTTGCTATCCACGCTTCAGTACAATCTATCATGGAAGTCTTTTAAACTTACCAGCCTGACTCCTCAAAATAAACTCTCTACTCTTTCAAAAATAAACATAAAACAGGCTTCAGATAATGTTGCTTTCTTTTGAGAACATTACTGCTTTAAACAAGGTTGCTCAGACCTTGCTGACAGCTGGTGTGAAGAACTGATGTGAACTGCATTTGAATAAAATTGATGCTACATCACGTTATAAAAAAAATCAGGGCTTTTTCCTTATGGGGAATGGATTTACCAGATGTTTTGGTTGTTTAGGAAACTAGGATGGGAAAGCTGAAAGGAAACAAGCACCTAAGATTTGTAGTTGGGCAAGAGGTGGTAGCTGTTCCATCCCTAGATATGTTCTGTGTTCACCTCCTGCCTCTGCCCTTCGGGGTGCATAAGCTGAACACAGATACGTCAGATTGTGAGTTAGAAAGTTTGTGTATTTAGAAAAGCGCAGACAGGGCTAACTGGTGCAAAAAAAATCAAATAGTGCCTGTCTCTGTTGAGATGTAGCTCATTATATGTAGAAAATAAAATAAATACTGAACGCTGCATCAGGGAATCTTTGTATTTTTTTTCCTGTGTTATGAGTTTGGGTGTGAATTGGTGAAGCTCCATGTTTGCTTGGAGAACCATGACATGGTGTTATACTCATGCTGGCATCCTGCCCAGAAGGAACAAAGCATATGTTTATTTCTATGCTTTCTGGTTTGTTTCTCTCCTGTTTTTCTCTCGTTTGCATCAGAACAAATATACAGTAAAAATGGGTGTGAAAAATGGCATAGGGTTTTTTTGCCAGTGGATAAAAACCATTAATCTTGGTGAAGTTTCTGTGCCCCAGTGGGAATGGACTCTGTCCTATTATTTCCTGATTCTGTCCTGTGTTTTTCTTCTTCCTGTCTTTCACAGCTACACCATAGCAGACAGTTAATATTCTCTAAGTGAAGATAAACTTGTTTTATAACCCAGTCAGTCCCCACCAGGTTAATTTTTTAACATTGTTTATCTGCTACGTTTATCTCGCCAATCTCTAAATTATCACAGCTTGGCATATATCAGTCCTTTTATTTCCTGCAAACACATCTTTCTTTTCTTCCTCTAAAGCATGTATCTACTTCAACTGCCTCTTTTTCCTCCCTCACACAGTTGTTTTTTCTTGCCATCTCTGGAACAAGGAGTGAGAGGGGAAGAGTAACTTGGTAGTTATTTGTTCAGAGATGGTTATTTGTTGCTGTAAGCAGACTTTCCAGAGTAATGCAAATGGTAGAGGAAAAAAATAAAAACAGCCTGAGGTACATTCCAGTGGAGATGTGGAGACCTTCGTACGAAGAAGAGAGGTTTTTGGAAATGGAAATTTCTGTGCTTTTGCAGAGCTTTGTTGGTTTATATAGGTGACTTGTATCTTCATGTGGGTCAGCTTTCAGGATTGGGATGCCAAAATATTGTCTTGGAAACTTATTGTTAGCTAACGAATAGTAAAAATGGTGTTGGTTAATGCAAGTCCTAACAACTTTGTACTAGCAGCAGTTATCTCTGGTTACAACATTTATGAATGCATAAATCTTGGTGGAAATGTGTAGTTAGAAAATGCCAGTGTTTCTGTAGTCAGCTATTTCTGGTACTTTGCTAATTTGCTTATTAAGTAACTGTTAATGTAGGATTAAATTGCACAGCTATTTGACTCAAAGTAGGGAAGTAAACAGAGATAACATTGGTTGCTTCTTGAATGTAAAGCAACTTGGTGGGAGGGAATGTTCAGGTTTATTTTAAGAGTTTCTGAATTACAGTATATCTTGAGGGCACAGGTGGGTTGTCATGTTAGGCCTTATGAACTTAATGAAAAAGTGATGTTCCAGACTAAAACTTCCAATTCAAATACTAAAACTATGTTCACAAATTGTATGTAGTAAGGATTCTTTACATATCAATGCTGCTTACGTCAGAGTCCACACACATCTTTAAACAATGTATGTAGCCTATGGAAGACCTCTGTCAAAAAGAGCATTTAGTAAAAAAGATACTTGAGCATGTGCTTCCATATGCTTTAAGGATCTGTCGGTGCATGAATATATGAGTGCAGATATTTTGCAACCTCAGGTGATTCTGTGCACATATTGCACACTTGCAATTTATGTGCATGTTCTTCAATCTTAAAATCAAATATTTTAACATTAATTTTGTGGACACTGAGAAACTAATACTGCAGGTGCAAGTTAATCATCATGAATTTCTTAAAAACAGGTGTGTATTATTTTCATTTTATAAACTGGGGCAACTGAGATATGTGATTGCTGTGGGTTGTCCAGCGATTCAGCGTGGTGTGGCCATGGAATTGCCTTCCAACCCCATACTCAGAATTCTGTTTCTGATATGAATGCAGCCTTCTCTTCTTAACTTGACCTAGGCAACAAATAATAGATGCTGCTGATGATTGCTAATAAAGTTTTGATTGCATCTTATCAAGCATAATGATATGGCAGTGCTAATGAGACATGCTGCATAATTGCCATTGTTCCCAATGGCATCCCCATGTTGTTATTGTTTCACCATAGCAAAACAAACTGCATTATTTGATGTTAACTGCAGTGTTGCTTCTTCTCAGCACTGCTTCCTGAATCCTAGTTAGGTCAGTTTTCAGAAATGTTGAGGTATTTTGTGTTGTGAGTAATGGTGTTGCTTACTCAAAGGCAGCTTGAAGAGGGAGCAAAGTAGCAGTGCTGGGATGGGAGGTTGTGAGGGTCTAGGTCAGCAGTTGAGAGTGCAAGCAAATATGAGCCTCCTTGACAGCATGGCACTTGGCAAAGCACAGGAAGTCAGAAATTCCTTTACACATGGCACAGTTGCATCTCTCTGCACCCACAAAAGCCATGTATTCTGGGCAAGATCCAGTTGTGTAATCCCACTGCCTATCATGAGTGATCGATGCACAGTGGTGCTCTGGGCGTTTAGACAAAGGCAAAAGCCTGTGCTAAGGTTAAAAGTCAGACTGGAAAGAGCTGGGGAGTCTTTTTGAGGTAGATGCAGTGAGCAAAATACCACTCTGGAAAGTAAAGCTTCTGGACTTTGTGTTGCTCAGTCAGAACGACTGTAGGTACTTTCTTCCATGCTCTTGAGATTTGTAAATGAAATTTCACCTGTTTCCTGAGATTAATTTAAAAATTAAAAAAAAAAAAAAATCAACAATATAAGATGTGGTGTCCCACTCAATTTCTTTTGTGATGCGAAGTGCTGTTTACTAAGGGAGTGACTGTTCTGCAGCAACTTGCACTTCCAGATGGTCTTATATTGTGGTTCAGCTTTGAA